GAACATTTATTTTTATAGACTAATCTATAATAATATGTAACATTTCGTTCAAAAATATTTTTATATTTTCACTTTCTGAAAATATTTGTGTGCTTGTAACATTTATTTAGTATGAATTAAATAAATTAATTCATTTTGAATATGAAATTTATAATTTCATATATTATGTGTGTGTGTTATTATATATAACTCTACCCATCTTCACTCGCGATGAGCTAGGGTAGGAGAAATATACATACAACACATATAACACACTATTTTTTGCGTACATATTAAAAATATATACACAAATAATGTGTCTTTTTGTTTGTTTGTTCATTTTGTTATTTAACGCTATTTTATATAGCGCAAATACTTTTTTTTTATTAATAAGTCATAACAAGTTATAACTATTAATTTTTCATTTTATATAATAGCCTCCCCAATAACTATATATAAAATTTTACACATGTATAAATACATGTGTACTGTGTTTCTGTCTTTGTACACTATATTAATTGTGTATAATTTTTATACACCTATAGTATATCAAAAACTCATTAAGAACATAGTTCTTAATGTATCACACCAGACTAATTAACGATATAGGGGCAACCAGGTCGGACTTGTTTGGTTTTTCCTACTCCCAAATATCTTTTTCTGTATAGAGGGATTCTAACGACCAGTCGTAATGAACCATAAAAAGGAACAAACTGTCGATACGAAAGAACCATATACATAGTAAAAATTAACGATAGAAGTAAAATATTACAACTATCTTTATGTATATTACGCTACGAATATACAGGATTTATTTGAAATCATTGATTTCTCTTTGCCATATGAAGTAGTTTTGTGCCACTATTTCTTTATGTGACACCTTTTTTTCAAAATATACCACTAAATTATCAAGCCTTCTATTATAATAAAAAAAATATTTACTATAATAGAATCAAGCTTCTCCACTATATATTATTATACTGATGTGTCTATTTATTTATGTGTTGCTGCCATATTATAATTCGTCAACCGCATCTCTATAAGCACTATTATTTTAATGATGCCCCAGTTCATTAAATATTATATGAAGTAATTTTACTTCGTGCTGATGCTAACTCCATGAAGTAGTTTTGTGCCACTACTTCTTTATGTGACAACTTTTTTTCAAAATATACCACTAAATTATCAAGCCTTCTATTATAATAAAAAAATATTTACTATAATAGAATCAAGCTTCTCCACTATATATTATTATACTGATGTGTCTATTTATTTATATGTTGCTGCCATATTATAATTCGTCAACCGCATCTCTATAAGCACTATTATTTTAATGATGCCCCAGTTCATTAAATATTATATGAAGTAATTTTACTTCGTGCTGATGCTAACTCCATGAAGTAGTTTTGTGCCACTACTTCTATCTGCAGTAGCATTTTTTCAAAATGTACCACTAAATTCAACATGTATTTATGCACCTCCATAACCAAACATAAATACATTTATAGTGTGTTTATTACGAATAAACACACTATATTTATTTTAATACCTTGGGACACCATTTGTATATATGGGCTTACTTTAAATTCCACCAGACTTTAGTAAAACCCATATATATTATATGTATTTTATGCACCTCCAAACATAAATACATTTATAGTGTGTTTATTATGAATAAACACACTATATTTATTTTAATACCTTGGGACACCATTTTTATATATGGGCTTACTTTAAATTCAACCAGACTATAGTAAAACCCATATATATTCTATACTAAATGCATCTGCACTATTAATGCCGCCACTACATTAATTTATATGAAAAAGTAATTTTACTTCTTCGTGCAGAAGCACACTCCACAAGTATGTTTTGTGCCACTACTTCTATCTGCAGTAGCATTTTTTCAAAATGTACCACTAAATTCAACATGTATTTATGCACCTCCATAACCAAACATAAATACATTTATAGTGTGTTTATTACGAATAAACACACTATATTTATTTTAATACCTTGGGACACCATTTGTATATATGGGCTTACTTTAAATTCCACCAGACTTTAGTAAAACCCATATATATTATATGTATTTTATGCACCTCCAAACATAAATACATTTATAGTGTGTTTATTATGAATAAACACACTATATTTATTTTAATACCTTGGGACACCATTTTTATATATGGGCTTACTTTAAATTCAACCAGACTATAGTAAAACCCATATATATTCTATACTAAATGCATCTGCACTATTAATGCCGCCACTACATTAATTTATATGAAAAAGTAATTTTACTTCTTCGTGCAGAAGCACACTCCACAAGTATGTTTTGTGCCACTACTTCTATCTGCAGTAGCATTTTTTCAAAATGTACCACTAAATTCAACATGTATTTATGCACCTCCATAACCAAACATAAATACATTTATAGTGTGTTTATTACGAATAAACACACTATATTTATTTTAATACCTTGGGACACCATTTGTATATATGGGCTTACTTTAAATTCCACCAGACTTTAGTAAAACCCATATATATTATATGTATTTTATGCACCTCCAAACATAAATACATTTATAGTGTGTTTATTATGAATAAACACACTATATTTATTTTAATACCTTGGGACACCATTTTTATATATAGGCTTACTTTAAATTCAACCAGACTATAGTAAAACCCATATATATTCTATACTAAATGCATCTGCACTATTAATGCCGCCACTACATTAATTTATATGAAAAAGTAATTTTACTTCTTCGTGCAGAAGCACACTCCACAAGTATGTTTTGTGCCACTACTTCTATCTGCGGTAGCATTTTTTCAAAATGTACCACTAAATTCAACATGTATTTATGCACCTCCAAACCAAACATAAATACATTTATAGTGTGTTTATTTGGAATAAACACACTATATTTATTTTAACACATGGGTATCTTCATATATAGTGTGTTTATAATGAATAAACACACTATATTTTAATGCATAGGTTATTTCATATATAGTGTGTTTATTATGAATAAACACACTATATTTATTTTAATGCATGAGCTACTTCATATGTAGTGTGTTTATTTTGAATAAACACACTATATTTATTTTAACTATACAAATGCATGTTATTTTAGTAATACATTTCATATAAAATGCTACAGCATAAAGAAGTAGTGGCACAAAACACCTATATATACATGGTGTCTGTTGCTTGAACAAACACTTGTATATATTATGAAGGAAAATTTTTCTTCATGGTGCGAGAACACCACTGACTCTATAGGTGTTTTGTGCCACTATTTCTTTATGCGGTAGCATTTTATATAAAATATATGACTAAAATGACATTTACCTCTATAGGTTAAATACGTTTATAGTGTGTTTATTTGGAATAAACACACTGTATTTTAATGCATGGGTTACTTCATATATAGTGTGTTTATTATTAATAAACACACTATATTTATTTTAACACATGGGTTACTTCATATATAGTGTGTTTATAATGAATAAACACACTATATTTATTATAATACCATGTGATACATTTAAGAAACATTTGTATTCCTTAATAAATGCATACTTTGTATGTACATTTATATATATTTACACATGCCAATACTATAATATAGTAAAATTGGCGTGCGGGTGTGCTTGTTTGTAACATTTCTGATATACTATGTACACATTCCAAAGTGATACATAGAGTTATTATATACTTAAGACTTTTCGCATATGCTCAAGTCAAGGGCAAGTATATATTTACGCATGCCAATACTATAATATAGTAAAATTGGCGTGCGGGTGTGCTTGTTTGTAACATTTCTGATATACTATGTACACATTCCATAGTGATACATAGAGTTATTATATACTTAAGACTTTTCGCATATGCTCAAGTCAAGGGCAAGTATATATTTACACATGCCAATACTATAATATAGTAAAATTGGCGTGCGGGTGTGCTTGTTTGTAACATTTCTGATATACTACTATGTACACATTTCATAGTGATACATAGAGTTATTATATACTTAAGACTTTTCGCATATGCTCAAGTCAAGGGCAAGTATATATTTATGCATGCCAATACTATAATATAGTAAAATTGGCGTGCGGGTGTGCTTGTTTGTAACATTTCTGATATACTATGTACACATTCCATAGTGATACATAGAGTTATTATATATTTAAGACTTTTCGCATAAGCTCAAGTCAAGGGCAAGTATATATTTACACATGCCAATACTATAATATAGTAAAATTGGCGTGCGGGTGTGCTTGTTTGTAACATTTCTGATATACTATGTACACATTCCATAGTGATACATAGAGTTATTATATACTTAAGACTTTTCGCATATGCTCAAGTCAAGGGCAAGTATATATTTACACATGCCAATACTATAATATAGTAAAATTGGCGTGCGGGTGTGCTTGTTTGTAACATTTCTGATATACTTATGTACACATTTCATAGTGATACATATATACTTAAGACTTTTCGCATATGCTCCAAGGGGCAAGTATATATTGACTTGTATATATTATATATTTACACGAGCCAATACTATACTAGAATATAGTAATTGGCATGCGCGTTCTTGTTTATAACATTTCTGATACTCTATGTACACATTCCAAAGTGATATACATAGAGTTATTATATACTTAAGACTTTTCGCATGCTCAAAGAGACAAGTATATATTAATTTTATACATAGGGACACCATTATGTATAATATTTTGTAGTATATAGGTGGGTGGTTATAATATATATAGGTTAAATATATATAAAAAAAAAATAATAATAATTAATAATAATGGCAGGCCTTAATGAATACACACACCACCACCAACAGTGAGTGAAACACCGGCTACCATTATTGATGATTCTCGATTGACTCTATATATATATATATTATATATTATTATATATACTACATGCACAATGTACAAAACCATTGCGAAGTCGTATATTTTTATATATAAACATATTATATATATCGTCGAATCATCAAGCAAAGGATAAGCTTCAGTGGATCGCAGTATGGCAGCTGCTCAACCACTTACAACACCTTGCCCGTTACAAAAGTCGTTTACAATTGATTCTAGGCTTTGTCATTGTATTAAATAATGTTTTAATAAGTAACTAGCATTGGCACCAGGTGATCGAAGATCCTCCAAAGTTAACTATGTTACTCATAACATTGGCATCACATATTCATTGTCGTTTATAAATGCATATAAACTTTTAATGATTTAGAAGCCATACAATGCAAATTGCCCCATTTTTATCATTGCAGTCCAGCACGGATACGACCTTAGAGGCGTTCAGGCATAATCCAACGGACGTAGCGTCATACCACTGTTCGCTCGAACAAGTATTGTGCCATAGGTCCGTACCTGCGGTTCCTCTCGTACTACGCAGGAATGCTGTCGCAACAACGTTTTTGTCATTAGTAGGGTAAAACTAACCTGTCTCACGACGGTCTAAACCCAGCTCACGTTCCCTTGCATGGGTGAACAATCCAACGCTTGGTGAATTTTGCTTCACAATGATAGGAAGAGCCGACATCGAAGGATCAAAAAGCGACGTCGCTATGAACGCTTGGCCGCCACAAGCCAGTTATCCCTATGGTAACTTTTCTGACACCTCTTGTTAAAAACTCTTTAAACCAAAAGGATCGATAGGCCGAGCTTTTGCTGTCCCTGTGTGTACTGGACACCGAGATCAAGTCAGCTTTTGCCCTTTTGCTCTATGTGTGGTTTCTGTCCGCACTGAGCTGGCCTTGGGACACCTCCGTTATTATTTGAGAGATGTACCGCCCCAGTCAAACTCCCTACCTGGCAATGTCCTTGAATTGGATCATACCGGAGTAATTGGAGTTATACCAAATTCATAAATTGAAAATACACATAAATGCGCATCCTCTCATTATTAGAATTTGTTTGCAATTATATAACAAACTCATGATACTTTGATCAAGAAGCTTGCATCAAAACCCAATACCATAAGATATATAAAAATATATCCGTATAATGGCTAGGAAATGATACACGTTCCATTTAATCAAGTAAGTAAGGAAACAATAAGAGTAGTGGTATTTCATTGGCGATACTAAACCGAAATCTAATATCTCCCACTTATTCTACACCTCTTATGTCTCCTTACACTGCCAGATTAGAGTCAAGCTCAAAAGGGTCTTCTTTCCCCGCTAATTATTCCAAGCCCGTTCCCTTGGCTGTGGTTTCGCTAGATAGTAGATAGGGACAGTAGGAATCTCGTTAATCCATTCATGCGCGTCACTAATTAGATGACGAGGCATTTGGCTACCTTAAGAGAGTCATAGTTACTCCCGCCGTTGACCCGCGCTTACTTGAATTTCTTCACGTTGACATTCAGAGCACTGGGCAGAAATCACATTGTGTCAACACCCGCTAGGGCCATCACAATGCTTTGTTTTAATTAGACAGTCGGATTCCCCAAGTCCGTGCCAGTTCTGAATTGATTGTTAATTGATAATCGTTATAATTTAAAAGAGCTAAAACTGAAAGGTTTAACCCCTCCAGATTAGTATTCTTAAAAATTTTAGCAAGAAAGTTCCACAATTGGCTACGTAACTAACAATCCGGGGAACAAATGACGATCATTAAAAATAATCGAAATTCTATTTACCCAGAACGAGAACATAAACCATGTTATTGTTTCCCAATCAAGCCCGATTATCTCAATCTTCAGAGCCAATCCTTATCCCGAAGTTACGGATCTAATTTGCCGACTTCCCTTACCTACATTATTCCATCGACTAGAGACTCTTCACCTTGGAGACCAGCTGCGGATATTGGTACGGCCTGTTGAGAAGTTTGCGTGTCCCCACCATAAATTTTCAAGGTCCGAGGAGAAAATATCGACACAACAGTATATGTCATGCTCTTCTAGCCCATCTACCATATCTCTCTGCGAAAGACTTCCATGGTAGTACGGCTATAAAACAGAAAAGAAAACTCTTCCGATATCTCTCGACGGCTTCTTTATGGTCGTTCCTGTTGCCAGGATGAGCACAAGGCCCATATTTAATAACAAACGGATACTCAACAGGTTACGGAATTGGAACCGTATTCCCTTTCGTTCAAAATTATTCAAGTGTATCAATAATAATATGTATGTTGTGTATATATATATATATTTTTACTTGAAAATTTTCGGCTTTCGCCTTGAACTTAGGACCGACTAACTCGTGATCAACCACTGTTCACACGAAACCCTTCTCCACTTCAGTCCTCCAAGGTCTCATTCGATTATTTGCTACTACCACCAAGATCTGTACCAATGGCGGCTCCATGCAGGCTTACGCCAAACACTTCTACGCACACCATTGTACCTTCCTACTCACTAAAGTTTCAAAATTTATATTTTTATATAAATATGAATCATTTACTTTAGCGGTAATGTATAGGTATACAACTTAAGCGCCATCCATTTTAAGGGCTAGTTGCTTCGGCAGGTGAGTTGTTACACACTCCTTAGCGGATTACGACTTCCATGTCCACCGTCCTGCTGTTTTAAGCAACCAACGCCCTTTCATGGTATCTGCATGAGTTGTTAATTTGGGCACCGTAACATTACGTTTGGTTCATCCCACAGCGCCAGTTCTGCTTACCAAAAGTGGCCCACTGGGCACATTATATCATAACCTTAAACTTCATTTCAAGAAAGTTAAGGTTCTTACCCATTTAAAGTTTGAGAATAGGTTAAGATCGTTTCGACCCTAAGGCCTCTAATCATTCGCTTTACCAGATAAGATTATTTTATGCAATATATAAATGCACCAGCTATCCTGAGGGAAACTTCGGAAGGAACCAGCTACTAGATGGTTCGATTGGTCTTTCGCCCCTATACTCAATTCTGACAATCGATTTGCACGTCAGAACTGTTTCGGTCTTCCATCAGGGTTTCCCCTGACTTCAACCTGATCAAGTATAGTTCACCATCTTTCGGGTCACAGCATATATGCTCAAGGTACGTTTCCAGTTAGAGGTATAAATAATATAAATATTATTATACATAACTATATAGAGCGCCCCGGGATTGAATTAATAAACTATATAAAATAATTTAAAAACTAATCCCATTTGTATTGGTAGTCAAGTTAATTACGCCATTAGGTTTATAAAATAAATCCCCAATGACTTGCATATATGTTAGACTCCTTGGTCCGTGTTTCAAGACGGGTCCCGAAGGTATCCTGAATCTTCGCATTGTTAATCATACAAGTGCCTTATAATAAATATAAATATCATAGATATAAATCTCATTATATAATTTCGAAAAATTAACACACTGTATTTCATATCAATCTATCAGCACTTTATCAAATTTAATGACATTTATTCTATGTTATCAATGGGCAAGCCATAATAATTTGAATAAAACTATAAGCCATATTTTATGATAAATTTTTGTATATGCTAATAGATTACAATGTCCTTATATGGGAAAATGCACACTATTATTAATAATATTTATTAAATATTATAATTATAATGATGAATTTCCCATAATGGATATTCAGGTTCATCGGGCTAACCTCTAAGCAGTTTCACGTACTATTAACTCTCTATTCAGAGTCTCTTTTCAACTTTCCCTCACGGTACTTGTTTACTATCGGTCTCATGGTTATATAGTTTTCGATGGAGTTTTACCACCCCACTTAGTGCTGCACTATCACGCCACCACGACTCTTTGGAAATCATCATCTAGTAATCATCTAACGTTATACGGGCCCTGGCACCCTCTATGGGTAAATGGCCTCATTTAAGAAGGACTTAAATCGTTAATTTCTCATACTAGCATATAGATGTTCCATACACTGCATCTCACATTTGCCATATAGACAAAGTGACTTAGTGCTGAACTGTTTTCTTTTCGCTCGCCGCTACTAAGAACATCCTTGTTAGTTTCTTTTCCTCCCCTAATTAATATGCTCTTAAATTCAGGGGGTAGTCCCCTATGAGTTGAGGTTGTATAAATATAT